TAGAGGGACGTGGTCACATGTATTGTCTTCTGCTTGGCTTTTAATTTAATTCCTCACAAAAAATGTGACGCAAGACTTGATCGGATGAACTCTGTTATGCGATGAATCTAGAATTAGACATCAATTCTCGGTGGTGTGACAGCTCCCATCGCCGTTTTCATACGGTGATTCAGCGTTAGTAGCATGAAGAGTACTGTAGTATAATACTTATATTGAATTACAGAGTAGTTTTCTAACTAATTCATAGTAGAGCACTTGTATTGAATTAAGGAGTATTATAGTAGAATACTTATACTGAAGAGTACTGTAGTAGAACACTTATATAGAAAATCAAAACCAAACTAATTCACTCTCGCATGTAAAGAGTGAATTAGTTTCCTATTCCAATTGCCTTTTTGAACAAAATAATTTCGCGGCGAAGCCTACAATCCTCGCTGCAAAACAGTCCTTCAATCCCATCCTTTTGGAATGCCACAGTCGCTACCTGCGCACGGAAGATCGCCGCGCACCTGTGCCGGCGGCGGCGGCCACTTGTTGTGCCACCATGTCGTTTCGTGGATCACGTTCGCAGCTACCTCGCGGCACAGTCGACACCCTTTGTTGCTTAGCCGCCGACACCCTTTGTTGAAATTTGGACCCTGTTTCAACACCCGAAAAGTGTTGCAATAGACCCAAAATAATTGCAATATCAAAAATAGCAACATTTTTTTCGTTGGGAGGCGTTGCAGGCACTTGCGTGGGTAAAGCTTTGGACAACGCTTTTCTACGAAGCGTTACAAAATGTGTTTTGGATTTGCAACACCTAGGCGTTGCAACATAAGCTTTTGCTATGGTTGTAGGTGTGGCAACAACTAATGCAACGCCTTAAGCATTGTTGGACCTTGCAATGGCAACTTGCCTATGTCATAGCAAATGGTGCACTAGCAATGACGAACATGTGTTGCAAGACAATGTATTGCCACGCATAACGCGTGTGGCAACAAGGATTATGTCGCAACACCGAGAAGTGGTGGCAACATGTGCAATTGCCACGCCCAAGATTTGGTTGCTATAAGGTGCATCTTCTATTGCATCGCATAACGAGTGTGGCAACAAGACATATGTGGCAACATCAAGAAGTGGTGGCAACATGTGCAATTGCCACGTCTAAGCTTTGGTTGCTATAAGGTGCAACCTCTATTGCATTGCATAACGAGTGTGGCAACAAGACTCATGTAACAACGCCAAGAAGTGGTGGTAACATGTGCAATTACCACGTTTGCATTGTCATTGCTATAAGGTGCATCATCTGTTGCTACGCGGATTATCCGTTGCTATAGGATATATTGCCACCAAAAATATGGTTGCCAATAGCCACTTTTACAACGCTTTTGGTTTGGTGCGATAGGACAATAGGCAGCGCCATTAATTAATTAGAAACTCAATAGACATCAGCAAAGCATTTGAAGAAAACCATTAAACCAAAATACGAACTTGTTTAATTTGTTCACATCTAGAATTAAACGATCCAAAAATTCAAATTCAGGCTACACACACATTATTCAAACCATCATACAAAAAATTATTCAACACATTTGTGCCTAAACAACATCTAAAGTGGCTAGACACCACTAAAGGTCGAAGCGAAGCTTGGCTTGAATTGACCATCCTATCAGGCTCCACTCAAACTCTATCTTAATAAAATCATTCACATTAACATGCATAAATTGTTCAGTACATCACTATAGTAAACTAAGCCACAATATGATAAGGCTATGCAATACATTTTCAGCAATTAGTTAAACTAAAATTGGAGGTGTTGACAACAAAAGCATGGACAGAATTGTTTCAAATTTAAGCAGTAAAGACATATGAGGTGTTCACAATAGTAACATAGTCACAATAATTAAGAACTGGCGGGTGTTCACAAACAAAGAACATAAAAAGGGACAAGTCATGCAAAACCATTGGTACTGTTTTACAGGGCACATTTTAGCTCAACAGCATAGTGGTCACAATCATTCAAACATAGATGGTGACAAGCAAAGCACATATCAAAAGGCATAAGTTAGGCCCCGTTTGGCAGGGCTTTACTTCACTAGTGAAGCTATTTTTTTTGGCTTCAGCTCCACGAACAGCTCCACCGGTGGAGCTGAAGCGGTTTTGGTAAACCGTTTGGCAAAATGGCTTCCCTGTGAGAGCATGTTTTTAGGGGCCTGGAGGAGGAGCCGGGAGAAGCCACTATTTTTGGCTCCTTCCCACCCCAAAGCTCTGTGAGAGCACGTTTTTAGGGGCTTCATCGGTGGAGCCGTTTCATTTTACCCCGTTTGGCAGAAAACAGCTCCAAACGGCTCCTGAAGCCGCTGGAGAAGCCCTGCCAAACGGGGCCTTAATAGATAGACATTACAACTAACAAAAATCATATATTTTTGCTTTACTAATCAAATCCTAGTTTTTGCAGCAACACAAGTGTATCAGGAGGTCGAAATATGAACTAATTAACTGGCTACAGCTTACGACCATTTAGTAAGAGCCTAAAATAAAATGTTACAGTCACGGTGTTCAAATGTTACGGTCAGGAAGTTAAACAAATCAGCAAAATCTAATGCTGCATTTTTTTGTCAAAATGTTTAGCTGTTTGGAGTGGGCAAGAACCTGACTCTGCAATTCTCAATGTATTTTTATCTAGATTCTACTAATGCTAAAGAATCACAGCATCAAAACTTAGAAAAGGTTCAGATCTGGCAGCCTAACAGGGCTATTAGTAATATAGTATAATCTAATATCGTCGATTAATTGTTCTCCTGCCACATTGCATAAGCCACTGACTCATGTGCTACAGCTGCTCTCTACCGAGATGATGACTACTCAACCTCCAGGAGTAATTTAATTCAGAATGGTTGCGTGTACTCCTTTTTTCAACTTAGTGGAGAACGTGAGATGCAACCAATAAACAGGGAAAAACTCATACAAAATCAATTCATATGGATTGTTTTCTACACAATATTTATTTATGTTCAGCCCATGGTAAGGCCACATTTAATTCAGGACAGATCTGGTTGAACGATCATTTTTTGCTAAAGATCATACTAACAAGTCAACATGTATGATGAAACTCATAGATCTGACGATTATCCTCTCAATGGACATAACCACAAGAACAGTTATAGCTGAAACAAGACCTATTTTGTAAGGCAAGCAAGAGACATCACACATCACAGGTGGCTGACTTGAGAGCAATTAAATGCACATGATTTCACATCGGCAGCAACAGACTTCAGTAAACCAACCATCAATATAACCACAAGAACAGTTTGGCAACCAAAGTGAGGTTAAAGCAAAGTGGTTTGGGAAACTGAGAGGGAGCACTTATCTCTGAGTTAGGAATCGACAGTTGGTGGCGGAGGCCATTGATGCAGCCTTAGCTCTGCAGCAAGAGCAAACATTGCCGAAACCCAATTTTAGAGCCAAATAAAGGAACTGATATTCAAAGTCAGTAGCATCAATAGTTGATTAAATATGTATGACTTTTAGTGATATTTTTTCCTCATGTGCAATTGAGAAGGACATACTCATCACATTGGTAGGCAGTAAATTACAGACAGCAATTTCACTGCCAATATAATGCATGCTGTTAGAAGATCATGTTTAGTGTCATCTAGATATTTACAGTTAGGCATTTAAAACATTTTTTAACTACCTATTATCTTCTTCAGTATCTCAATTTTGATTTCTCATCTGAATCAACATAAATAGAAACAAGGTACGGCCAAATATTTACAGGAATAGTTCAGAAAAGGATAGGAGACAATGAACCGGTGCATTATCCACACAGGTAGGGGCTTTTCAGCATTCTCAGGGACATAAGGATACACATGAAAGAAATCTGGTACCACAACAAAGTACCCTGTCGAAGCAACCTTGTTACCTATCTTCCTTCGTGAGATAAGACAAGAAAATACTATCAAAATCCCTTTACAGGTGATACTCGGTGATTATGATAAAATTTGGTAGCATTTAAAAGAGGACACAACCAGAGGTCATCATTGAACTTCAGTATTGGACTTTGGGAACATTCTAAAAATACAACATAGTAAGAACAGACAACGTCCAGTTCCAAAGTTTCTGAATAACAACCCAATGAACCATTTGCAAAAACATGAAGAATGCACGTGCAATATATGAAGTAAAAGTTATTTAGCTTGGCATAAAAAAAGGTATTTAGCTTATATAGTTAGACTACTTACTAATAGTGAATGGTGAATAGTTGCGGTACCGTGGTCTGATTTACAAGACTTATTTCCATCTTGTATAAATAAACTTCCAGAACCAGCAGGAGATGGTGACTTAAGACCCACTGGCACAGACCCTGAATTGGATACAGCAACTGAGCAACATGATACAAGTTTCACCACTATTCAGTGTTAACTAGAAGTTGAGCATAATAATCAACAGTTTTTACTAGAAGCCTAGATTGTAGTAGTACTAGCAGCACATAACACCTTTCATTGATAATCACATGTCCCCTGTAAATCCGCCACGATTCATCTCCATCAACGCTAGTGATTAACAGATCTCTAGATGCAAGGGCGTTTGCAAATAATAATAATAAAACACTGGGGAGAAGTCCATTACAGAAAGTTTTACCTCAGGTTCGGCGCATCAAATCCTGCAAGAGGAGAAAGGCTTTTACTTGTAACTTGTCACTATCCCAAGCAAACTCGAGGTGAAGCAGATTCGAAGGGAAATGAAGCAAGTACCGAAGACGACAGCGATGAGGACGACGGCGGCGGCCTTGGAGTCCTCGGGGCCTCTCCAGGAGAGGAAGGGTGGCGGCATCTCTAGCAGAGAAGGGTAGCGGCGGCATCTCTAGCAAAGAGAGGAAGGGTGGCGGCGTCTCCAGCAGGAGAGGACCAGGAAACGGACGGGTCACGGTTGGGCCGTTGGGTGTGCGGGCGGCGGCGGCGTCTCCAGCAGAGGAAAGGCGGCGGCGGCTCCAGTAGGAGAGGATCCGGAGAGGGATGGGCCGTAGTCGGGCGGTCGGGCCATCAGGTGTGGGGGCGGAGGCGGTGATTTTTTTCTTCGAGGGCGCGCGTCGATATGGGGAAAAGAGAGGAGGGCTCCATCTGAGGGACGGGTGGCGGCGGTATTTCGTTTGAGGCGTGGCCTAGGGTTTTGACCATGGAGATGTATAAAATTTGAGCGCGGATGGCCCAGCAATTCCATCGCTCACCCGCAATTCCTCTCATTCTTGTCCGCAAAGAAGAAGGTGGCGGCGGTCCTCCTCCGAGGGCACCCTGGGGCCGGTGGTGGTCCTCCTCCAAGCACACCCCCGTGGGCAGGCCGAGCACCACCTCTCCGACCCGGCGGCGCGGCTCTCCGTCCCCGACCCGACGGCGCTCACTCCATCCCCGATCTGACGGCACACGCTCCCTCTCCGACCCCGTGGCTCGAGCTCCCCTCCCGTTCACAGTCATCATGGAGGCGCGTTGACCCTCCATTACTTCATCTCTTCTCTCCCATTTCCCTTTTTTCTTTCTCCCAAACTGACTCTGATCTCTTACCTAGGTTTGGCTCCTGGGTGTGGGCGTCCGCCGAGTGGCCGGGGTGGTATACACGGTGACGGCCGACGTTCTTGCGCGGTTAGATGAGCTGGACGCCTCCAAGCCTGCAACCAAGCAGATGCCTTGCCTAGGTAAATCCCGCACCCTGCTAGATCTACATGACTTCTTTGTTTGATGAAACATCTGCAATCCGATGGTTCTGTGTTCAGCTAAATTTAGGAGAATTAGATTGTTTAGATTAGGTGTGTTCCCTGAATTTTTTATTAGTGTGTACACATGTAATCTATTTAATCAATACAGTACTTGTTTATTAGTCAAGAAGATTAATTTATTCACTTTGCGTGAGAAGTGTACTATGCTGTTTACTGTTTTGCTGCTCCGTTGGACAGATTAGATTGTTTGAGCATGACTTACTATGCTGCTTGATTGTTTTTTCAGCTGTACCTGAGTTTTGCCAGTGTTGCTGTTCTCTGAATTTTGTCCATGCTATTTACAGTTCAGATACAGCACCGAATTTTCTCGTGTGTTGGCAAGTGCAGTAGCATTTTTAAGTAATTCCAATAAATAAGCATAAATATGTTTAAGTTCTCAAAAAGTATATTATTGGCTAATACTTATAAATAAAATATGTCTTTTTGGGCAGCAACGTCATGTTTAAGTCCTCTACGCGCAGCTCCTCGCCTTCTCTTGACGACATCAGGGGCAAGCTCTCGCAGTTCGATCTCTACTACTACAACTACAAGTTCGAGAGATCTATCAGGGAGCTGTGCAGCAATGTCATGGACTACCCCAACAAGACCACTGCCAACTCCAGATGCATCGATAATAACCTCAGACAGGTGTGTGCGTGCTCCTTTCATCTTTGGATCCTGGTGCACCAATTGGCTTCTAGAGTAATGATTTACAATTTTGATAGTGCCACACAGTGATTGGCTAATGACAGCCATGACAGTGCGATTTGGATTTCCCACTTTTGTACAATACTTCAGAGACTCATCTAGACGGTCTACTTCAGCGAAGAGCCACATCACGCACGACGCTGTCAGTGAGGCGCTCCTCTCACGCATCGTGCCCTCTTACACAGATGGCTCCGTTGCTCATGGCTGAGCTCATGCCACTCGAGGACTAGGCTGCCAAAAGGTTTGATTCTTGGGTAGAAATTTGGATAGAATATTGCTTATATTCTTGCTTTGTTTATTAAGACATGGATATTTATCGATTAATATATCTGCTGCCCATGGCACTGGCAACATTTTGGGCTACTTTGTCTTCATGTCTTGTCTTCCTGAAATTGGCTGTTTTCATAACATGGTTTGCGCTTTTCAGGTTCTCTTCTCGGATATAAATGCTGATGAGGTAAACTAACTGATTTCTGCTTAACTACAAATATTCTTGATACAGAAACTGACTGTTAGAGTACGTCCTCTCTGATTGCCCTTCCTTTACTGAAAATGGGCACATCTCATATGCAGATAGTGTTCATGCAATCTGAAATATAGAGCTGTAGTGATGTTCCATGCAGAGTGTTCATATCCTGATACAGATAGTGTTAGATGTAGTATTTTCCTGAATAAAAAGGCAGCCATATCTGCAATACCAATTGCATTGTCTTTTTCTTTTTGTGTGCTGCCTCTGCATGTATTTATGCTGCCGCATGTCGATGGATGAGCTTTTTCCCTTTTCAGAGCTCTGCACCAAAACACTACAATTATGTTGTATTTTACACAGGGTTTTGAAAGTCAAAATTCTCAGTCACTAGTCTGAAGTTTAGCATTGGAGCTTGCAAACAAGCTGGACATTCAAGGTGCTTGGCAACCTACAGAAATCACAAAGGTACCCATTTATTAATAATCATTCTCCTTGTGGTGTTTTCAGTTCATGTTTTGCATGTACCAGTACAGGTTTAGGGCCAAATAATTGTCACTTAAGTAGTACAAATAATATTCCAGTAGCAGCAGCATGCAGAACAGACCAGCTAGGAGGCCAAATCTGGTCTGTGGTTTGTCAACCACAATAGGGGACAGTAAATGCTTAGGGGAATTAACCTATCGTCTAATATTCTATCTGAACATTTCTGATAATTTACTACATGCAAGTCTGAATATATTTAAGAAATATCTCTGACCACTTATGTGCACCAATAAGGATGTCTGCACATATTAAATAATAAATAGATGCTAATTAGCATGTCTGCACAAGCAGCACTCCAACTAGAAATGTTTGCACTTATTTCAATTTGTGAGTTGGTGATTTCAGTCTTTGTTCATGCTCATACGACTGTGTTCCAATGCAATTAATTTTGTGTGTGGTTTGATTGCAGAGAAAACCAATGAGTCTGTGAAAGCAAACCAGCTGCTGGTTCTTTTTTCATTAATAAAATGTTGTCCTACTACAGTGCCACCATCAAACTTGTCTGGCTGTTGGCAACAGCTCGGCTAAAGTGTTCTGTTCTGTGCAACAGCTGGCTGGCTGTTGGCAACAGTTCGGCTCACCTATGCTCTGCTTTATACTTCTCCTTAAGTAGCATACATGTTTAGCAACCTGTAGTTTTGACTGGTAGAACAATTTACTTTCTCCATGAAATTAAATTGCAAGCAATATGTACTAAAATGACCAGCAAGCAATACGTACTAAAATGACACTGAAAGGTGATAACACTGGATTCTCTGTTTTTATTTAGTTTTACAGAGTATGACTAGTGCTAATCCAGTGTACTACTTACAGCCATAACTAAACAACTCAGCAGCTTATAGAGTTATACTTCTCACTCAGATGTCAGTGCTGCTGTCTAAAACTCTGAATCCTGTTGCATTGCTATAATATTGGTGGTGTCTGTAACTTTCTAAAAACAGTCACACAACTTATATTGCCGTGTCTGAAACTCAGTAGATCAATTTTTCATTCCTTCACAAATCTGGTAAGGAATATTTGCATGCTGTTGCATAGCTGTAGTATTTGCAGTGGTCACTACTGCGAAGGGTTCTGACTACTGCATGTTGTAGCAAAGTTGTAGCTGCACCACCTTGTTTGATTGTATTTTTGGATCAGCTATCTGGTTTCTTCCCGCAGGACACATATGTAAAGTGCCTTTTTGACTGATTTCTTTGCTTCAGTAAGTGATGGTTGCTTCTCTTGTGTTGTGTATGCATGATATGGACAAATTCCATGACCCTAAGGTACTCTCTCTTGCTCTTGACACCAAGAATAACTGGATATGGCTCTAATTCTAATCTAAAAGCGCTCATGAATAGTACAAATTTATAATTGTTTAGTTATATATATATTCAGTGCTGATAACCAGAAGTTACAATATGAGTTCATTCTATATTTATTTCAATTACACTATTTTTGATGCCTCAACAAGTTGATATTTGATTACCGTCTATGTACTACCTTTTGCTATAGCTGTTGCTTTTGAATAAACTTAATTCGATTGGTTTGGACAGGAATTGCGGTTACTTTGGAGAAGTGGTCGTGTGTTTATCTGGTTGCATAGTGGACAAAAGGCATTTTGGATGGCCAAGGTCAAGGAGCTGGGGACTTGCTCAACAGATAGTCTATGTCCTTACCTGCCTAAGGACGAATGTAATGCTGTGTTTTATTTGATCTATATAAACTGTCACTTCTGTCAATATGAACTTAACAATGAATGTAATGAAATATGGTGAATGTTATGATATGCTGTTGGGCTTATTTGCATAGTAATTTGATTGTCTATGTGTATATATATATGTATATATGACCGGGGAGTTGGCATGGAAGCACATGTATTGGTAGTTGGTTTGTATGGACTAATGTAAGTTTGTGGCTATGTTCAGACCCACGATATATATGTAATGTATGACCCGGTAGTTGGTATGAACTAATGTATATGTTTGTCCCAAAAAAATGACTAAATACATACTAGTATACTTAAGCAAGCAATTATTAGGCTGACTAAATACATACTAGTGAAGGGTGGGTCTGGTACAAGCGGTAGAGTCTTATCGCCTGTGATCGGAAGGTTCCGGGTTTGAGTCATAGTCTCCTCGTATTGCACAGGCAAGGGTAAGACTTGCCACTGACACCTTTCCCTAGACCTCGCACAGAGCGGAGCTCTATGCATTGTGTACGTCCTTTTTACTAAATACATACTAGTATACCCTACTATGCTAATAAAATGAATTAAATTAGAATTGCATAAATCTGTAGCATGGAGAGTACGTGTCCACAAGATCGTTCGAAGAACTTTACCAAAAGCAAGATGAATCAGGGTGCAAGCATTGTCGATGTAGACGACGTGTGTTGAGCATCGCAGTGTTGATGTCCTAATAATGAAGGGCATGGAGCCGTCGTTTCTTGATCTATAGGGCACCAATTTCTCTTATTCATGTTGGGTGTTGGTGCCTTGTTTTCCTAGCCTTTCACACCCAAAGGCCCACCAAATAGGAGTGTTGCAATAGAATACAATATTGCAACAACCCATGTTATTCTATAGCAACAAAATTTACTCGTGGCAGTAGCGAAAAGCCTTTGCTTCTTCTTTCGATTGGATAGAAGCTCATACTCCACTTCAACAACTAGTTTGGTGCTGATGTGTACAAATCCCATGCTCCTACGCCGGGTTGATTGATGTGTCAAAGACTAATGCTCCTTGGAAGGTTTTGATAGGTAAAGCTGTGGCCCAAGAACCCACTACATCTAAGCCCAAGTCCAAACTAGACCCAAGAATGCTGGAATGAGAATCCTTACCCGTGACGACCATGCATACTTAGCAACATGCTATTGCATCGCTTTAAATATTTAGTTGCAATAAACAACTACCTATTGCAATATTACAACCAGACAAAATTATGGCAATAGCAACAAATTATTACATCGCCTTTGAATTTTAGTTGCAATACATGGTTAACCTATTGCAATGGGCGTGAGAAATATTACAACCCAACAACACTGTGGCAATAGCAACAAACTATTACATCGCCTTAGAAATTTTGTTGCAATAAACAACTACCTATTGCAATGGTTGTGAGAAATATTACAACCAACAAAAACAGTGGCAATAGCAACAAGCTATTACATCGCCTTAGAAATTTAGTTGCAATAGGTATGCATGCCCCTCTTCTTGGGTTGGAGTCATTCTTCATTCCACGCTTGATTTGTCACCATCTTTTCGATGAGGTTTTTAGCTTGTGTGACATTGAGTGAGGTGAACACTCCTCTTGCGGTAGCATCAAGGTGACTACGGGCCACGTTGGTTAGCCCGTGGTAGAAACCTTGGATCAGGAGCCATTCTTTAATCCCATGGTGAGGACACTCCCGAATGTACTCTGGAGACATTCCCATGCTTTAGGAATGGTCTCATCCGCTTGTTGTTGGCAGCTTGAAATCCTTCCATGAAGGGTAGTGGTTTTTCCCATCGGGAAGAATTTCTTGAGGAATGCATTGGCACAGTTTTCCTAGGTGGTGACATCCTCGAGATAAGCATAGAACCATTGCTTCGCCTTCTCGAGCAAGGAGAATGGGAAAAGGTGAAGACGGATGTTGTCTGCAGTGACTCCCTTGATGGCAATGGTGCCACACACCTCCATTAAGTGTGGGAGACGTGCATTTGCATCCTCATGGGGTTTCCCACAGAATGGGTTGGCTTGCACCATATTGATCAGCACTGGCTTGAGCTCAAATTGGGTGTCCCCAAAGTCGACTTGTGGTCCCGTGGCTACATGAGTAGACGATAGAGCCGAGAAGTTAGAGATCGCTGATTGAGCCATAGCTTGCGTGAGTGTTGGTTCGGAGCCTCCTTCCTTGAACGGGTTCAAAATCGAGCTGAATTTTCGAGGGAAACTAGACAACATCTAGAATTCCTTCGAAATTTCTCAGGATTTTCTAATGTGGTGGCCCAGAATAGAAAACCACTCATACAATGCCTTGCTTCACAAAAGCGAAACATAGGCAAGGGGTAAGCCCCTTACAACTAATTGATAACTAAATTAATGGCAAACTCTGGATTCAACTTTATTAAAATTACTAGGCTATGCTTTCCCTGGCAACGGTGCTAGAATCGTTTGGTGGTATTTATTATGACTATTGGATAATTCCGCAAGCGCACAGAATATACTGCTATAGCACTTCACCCGAGAGTATTTCAAGGTATCGTTATTTATTTTATCCCAAGGGAAAGCGATAGCTAGAAACAATAATAAAAGAGAGATCCTTGTATTTACCACAACCTAGTGCCAACTAGTGTAGGGGGTAAACGAAATATGATAGGAAGGGATGATTCAACAGACCATAGATAAAGTAACTAAAGATAACTTAGTAAGTATAGCTAGGTGGGAGGACAACGACTGAGTAAAGAATTCCTATGTTTCAAACTCTACCTTGTGGACTTAACTTAATCATACAATTGAAATAGCCTGGTTGATACCTCACAACAAGTATGCTAGGCGATA